TTTGGTTTGGCCGCTCCTAGCTTTTTTCCAACCTACTCCTACACTGCAAAACATAGCTCGTCGAGGCAGTCGATGGTTAGGCATTCGTAACACATGTCCATTCGATTGTAGTAGGTAGGAGAGTTAATATTTTGATAGATGTGATCTAAGACTAAACAGGAGTTTGTTATCTAATTGTTAGCAATATTAAGTTAACCAATTTATATATACTGACTGATATTCCTTAATGACAAGTCAAATAAAATCAGGTAACAATCTTCCTTTGTTAATGATATGAGGTATAAGTTTGTGTACTTGCTATTGAGTCATACTGCTTATAGTTTTGATATAATCCTTTGGTATTCAGAGTGAGTTACAGTAGAAAGGGGTTCGAACCTGTGATATGCTGGTCTACAATTAAGTGTATTTTTTCCCCTATTATATACATAATGGTAACTAGGACATTTGAATATTTAATACAAACGTAATCAAATGAAATCAACATATTCTCTGGAATGTGCACATACCATTCTCATTAACAATATGATTATCATAGTTTGAAATTTACGATAACCTCAATTTAATTACAGTGAATACACAGTATTTGAATGCTTATTGGATAAATAATAGGGCGTAAAGTGTATTTTCAATTCATTGTCCCACTTTAAAATGAATAATTTAACATTTAGAAAATATAGTATACGAAAATTCGACTTACAATTTCTACGGTTATCTGTCTTTTTTTTGATAAAACCTCTTGGATTTATACTTATGCTACGTTTTAAAATGGTTTAAGGAATTTTGCGGGAATCTTTCAGTTTTTAAACTTCATTCTTGTCAGTGGACTGATATGACTCAACAGAAGTATTTGTGAGTAAAGAACATGGGACAGGTGTTTACCGATTCAGTTTGAAACTATTCGTTAATACACACTCATTGAATATAAAAGGAATCGAACCAAAGACCATTAGACTTCAGAGTAAGCGGGATACATTCAGATGTAATACAGTGTCATACACTTTAAAATTCATCGATTCAATGAAATGGTAATCCGATTGACTAAGTGTAAATCCTGGTGCTCAGGTTTAAGTCTACATGGCCTGTAGACTCTTCGGAGCTACTGCCGTTCCCAAGCCCGGATAAAGGACAAAAAGGACAACATATAAACTCTAATCTGGGAGTTAGGTCATTTAGAAGAATTATGACGTCTCATGATGAAAGCCGTGTTCCTTAGAAAGTCATGAGGTTGATGCCCCGCACTGAATTCATACTAGAGCTTTTAAAGTTCGAACCCTATGCCGAATAGGTCAAAAAGCTTCATTAGTTAGAACTCTGCAATCCCAACCAATCAATGTATGTGCGTCTCCGAAACGAGCATAAAAGATCTGAGTAAAACCAATTTGATCTCACTTAGTGCAGACAGCGACACAACAAGGCTTACGCTTCGTGTTTCTGGTAGCCCTGATGCTGCTTCTCGTGGCCTCGCCGGAGTACATATAGTATTAAGTCCTAGGGAAGAACCAGGTCCCTTGGACTGGATCCCGACAGACAGTCGCTTACGCGGTGTCCGACTAAACGGGACGGTGCGGATGCAGAATGATAGGGACACGCCGTTGCCTCTTTGTCGTATCTACCTACGCTCCCAAAAACTGCAGTTCAGATGAGTTCTACAAAAAGCTTTCGGACCTCCTCCAAAACGTTAGGCGCTCTGATATAGTAATAATGGCTGGTGACTAACGCTTAAGCAAGTAGACTCAGCGAAAAGGAAAGACATCTTGGTGGATCTTATGGTGTCGCAGCTAATCGAACAGACAATAGTGACCATCCGCTGCAACTATGCTCAGATAACCGCCTATTCCTAGCAAATACTAATTTCAAGCATAAGGAAAAACATCTTTTGACCTGGCGACCCCCAAAGTCTTCACAACGATACATCCAACTAGATCACATCGGAGAGGCTCTGTTGAAGACTGCCGCTCATTCTGGAGCACTTGATTAGACTCAGACCATGCTCTAGTGCGGGCGCGTATTCGTTTGTGTCTCTATGGACGTAGGAAAAATATCGCAAGGAAACCTGTTAGGGCTCTACTTAATGATAATAAAGCTATGAATATATTTCAGGAACAACTAGAAAAACATTTAGGCAGTCATGAAGTAAGTGATGCCCACTGTGAGGCAGCTTGAAATGACATCCAAAAAGCTGTGGAAACAGCAGTGATACCTGTTGGTAAGTTTAAACATAAGGCCAGGAATAAGCCGAGGATCTCAGTAGCATCCATCGAACTGATACGCCCTCGAAAACTCATCCCACATGGCTCTGAACATGATGAAGTGAGGACTTAGCTCAGGCACAAGGTGATAAAAAGCCTACGAAATAATCGTAAGCAGTAATTTGTAGAGAAAGCAAGAGCAACGGAAAAGGCAGAGGCGATAGGCAACAGCAAACAACTTTTACGCCTAATCAAGGAAACTGGTATTACAAATTCATCTGTTAGCGAAACTATCTTAGAAAAGGATGGCTGTATCATTCATTCTCTATCCAGGAGATTTAATCGATGAATGAAACACTTTGGGGATCAGATCAACTGGAATTCAGCCACACTTCGGTTTCCCACGATCTCCAGTCATCCTGAATGGGAAACCGACATAAATCCTCCTAGTCTTTATGAAGTTGAGAAACTGATAGGAAATCAGAAGCAAGTGAGAGCAGCGGGTCCTGACAGACTGGCCCCTGAAATGGTAAAGGATGGTGGTCCAGTCTTAGCAGCTAGATTGACTGAGAAATTGTGTAGAATTTTGGAACTGGACGTAAACCCATCGGACTGGTCTCAATCCCTGATTGTCCCTATTTACAGCAAAGGACAAAAGTCTTCTTGTAACAAACACAATGGAATCAGTCTAACTAATATAGTTTCTGAATTATTAACCTCAATTATCTTTAGACGATAGATCATAGGTTGTGAAGTGCAGACTAGATATAACTAGGCTGACTTTCGACCTGGACGAGGCCGAATAGATAAAATTTTTACATTACAACAGATCCTGGAACACAGACACACATTTAGACGTCCGACAATAGTTGTCTTCCTGGACCTTAAAGCAGCATTTGACTCTGTTGATCGTGAGGTTCGATGGCAGTGTCTGTCGTTGAAAGGTGTACCAAAGAAGTACATTAACTTATACAAGCTCTCTACTTGAACAACACTGGTCGAGTGAGAGCATATAGCGAACTGTCATCGAAATCCTTCTTTCCAAGTGGTGTCCGTCAGGGATGTCCACTCTCTCTATTCTTGTTTAACTTTGTCGTAGAAACATGCTTTTAGGGTCGACATTATCGTCGTCTCAATTAACAAGAGTGGACCTTCTACCAGGAAAATCGCTTGTTGACTTAGAATATGCCGATGACATAGTTCTATTCGGTGAAGACGCTAATAAAATGCAGTCTTCTGACTACCCTAAGTAACAATGCAAGCATGTTCGGGATGCGGTTCTCATCCTCGAAATGCAAAATGTTGCTTTAGGATTGGCTTGCGTCGGCACATGAACTAATGATAAGGAGTCAAGCAGTTGAGCGTGTTGACCGCTTCACTTATCTCGGGAGTCTCATCAGTGCTGATGGCCTGGTGACTGAAGAAATTTCTGCACGGATACAGAAAACCCGATCGACTTTTGCGGACTTGCGTCATTTATGGCGAAGTCGATAAATCCATTCGCTTACTAAAGGACGAGTCTACTGCGCAGCAATTCGCTCCGTGCTACTATTATACGGAAGCGAAACATGGTCAGTCAGAGTAGATATTAATAGGTTACTGGTTTTCGATCATAGGTGTCTCCGAAGCATCGCTCGCGTATCATGCGACAACCGAGTAATCAATGCTGTTATTAGGAAACAGGTGCTTGGTAAGGATGGCAGGTCAATTGATGAAGTAGTGAAACTTCATCAGTTTAGGTGGTTGTGACATAGGTTGCGTATGCCTGATCACCTACTGCCTCATCGAGCTATATTTTGCGGTTTAGGAATAGGTTGGACGAATGTTAAGTTTATTTCAATAGATTCTACTTGAATATCTACTAATCATAATCTCTCTGGTTACTGCTAGATCCTTTACTACATCTACTACTATGGGATTTGAATCGACAATTACATCTCTGTGTTAATGTGGTATGGCAACATGAACTGATGTATGTACGTACGAAATTCTACGTTGTTATTGATTGACTGAGTATTTATACAAACCAACTATTCTATTCTCCACGTGTCATTATTCACACGTTTTTGATTGTGTCAATTTTCTGCTTATAACCTTGATTTTTTTTATTTGGGCGTGTACATATATTACTTACTTCATATACCACATGTCAAGCTTATCTCTGTTAGACTATGAATAATCAACCATGCTTTATAAAATGAAGTTGGCTCATTCATCTTATGCGTTTCGCTTCACATCCTTATGTTTGTCTGTGGAAACGATCTCATGAAATTAATTCATTCTCTTTTGTAATAGTGATAAAATACAATTTTTTAAAATGTCAATTGCATTATTAATCTACTTTGAAACTAATTTTCGATAATCAGCCTTGTATATTAAAAAGTTAGTATACATCAGAAGCTTGAATGAAGAAAGAAACTGGATTATTCCGACAGCTCCAAATTTAATTACCAGTACAATCTTGCGACTTTCTTCTTGCAACACAACTGTTGATATTAACGATTAGATTAGTTTAACACTTTCGAAAAAGACATATACATGATGAAAAATGAAGGAATAAGTATTATACTCTAAATGAGAACCTTGACAGCTAGTGGGTTTATTTAAAAATTTTAAGATCTAGGTTATTAGATCGTTGACTATCATAATGCTCTGGAAGTTTGTATGTGTAAAAAGGCTCACTTATAATCGTGTTAGTTAAATTCTCTTGATTTCGTTCACGTAGTCAAGTTTATATAGCAAATCCATATGGCCTTTGCCATATAGTAGTAATTTATAAAATGTAGCAACCAAAACACATGAAAACTATACCTGATCATGAATCTTATTCGCCTTCAATTTATTAAACGAGTAAGCATATCGAGAGCCATGATTTACAGTCAAACTGTCATCGTCCTTAACGGAATTAACCGAGTTCTACAGAAAATAATCGATATAAAATGTAATTATGCTTGAAATCTGAGTGTCTAGAAATAAAAGGCATCACACATATGCTCTTTAGCCCTAATGTTGATATATTAATGAAGTCTGTACGTAAATTAAATACTACTAAAATAATATTTGATGTATCTCCTCATCCGCAAATTCCTTGGTTAGGCTAAAAGTAGAAAAAGTCCGCTCTACCTCTCGAAATTTTCTCATATGGCAACTATGAGGGAAGTTCTACTCACTTCCTTCTTGTGGTAAAGATATTGTTTATTGAAGTGAGAGGACTAAACGCGAATGTCTGGCGAAGGCTCAAACTGGGTGGTGGGAACGGAGGATCCACTTCGGTGGGCTGGAAAAACTTGACCCCAAATCAGTGGTGGCTCTGGAATCTTGATGGAGCGAAGGGTGTATGAACCTACTGTTGGTCAAAAAATACCACGCAACTGCAACTATTGACGCTGCTCGATTAACTTGAGGATTAGACCTATAGGTCTAAGGCTGAGTGATTCCTAAGAAAACTAAATGCTTGACTCTGGAAGGCAGGGCAGCATACAAGCCCACTCACAAAGTCAATGATTTTTACGGAGCACAAATATTTAGGTCCTCACTGTGTACTAACGTTTACACTTAGATAAATATATACCAGATGTAAGAGACAGGGTCTGCTGAAGTTACTAAACATGCGCAGCAAAAATACAAGCACACTAAATAGGGAAAGAATGAAAATTATGATGAATTCATACAACCAAAATTGACTGAGAGTAGATGGAACAACGAAAGCACAAAGTAGGAAACAAAGTGAACTTCTGTTTGCTGTCTGACTAGTTAGCAGTAACGTAACTTACAGGTTTAACAAGTATAAATAATTTGCATTACTTATACCCACTAATTAAGCACAGAATAATCTTGTTACAGTCTAAACACTACTTTTAAGCAATTGTTACTGCTAAGAAAATATTTGACTCATACTATTACAAGATAGAGTCACATGAAAATCACTTTGTGACCTTTGATAGCGATACATCACATGATAATGAAAAGCTGTATTGAAAGTCTAGTAAATGTAACGTTTCATGAATCATGAAACATTGGTTCGTTTATGTAAATTTACTTGTAATATTTGACCACATAAACGAAATATTGTTGACATGAAGTTAAACCACTAACAAAGCAACATTAATGTCAATAAGAAAGTCATAAGTTAGATAATAAACCAGTCAACGCCGTAAAACTTGATTATTTCTCATGATAAAATCATTTTATCTCTTTGCAAAGTGATTTGCAGTTAGCAAGAACGGTTGATTCATGCTGCAAGGGTAAAAATTCCTAGTCAAAATTATAAAAACTAGTAAGTTGTATGCATCCAAACCACCTGTGTGACGAACTAACTTCTCCAATACTTTAATAACTAAGTCTCGCACTTGTGCTAATACATCAAGTTTCCTGACCACAGCTAAAAATAAACCTAATTTATGTTTTTACTGCTGCATTGTGACTGTATGGTAGACGTATGAAAGCAAGAGTGTTGTGTTTGACACTTCAAAAAACATCCCTGGAGAATTTTCTACACGACAGCCTTCATCAAACAAATAGCGATTTCACGCACATGCAACTAATCAAACCTAGCTCACTGATACGTATATGGTGAAACAACATTGTAAAGCTGGTCAACATAAAGCTTCAAAAAAAGTAGTACGACGATCACACCATAGAACATATACGTTGAGCAAATTACAAAAATAAGTCTCCATACATATACTTAAGGCTAGGCGGAAAAATAAAGTTACGACACAAAGCATGTCAAGACTAACAGATGGATGTTTTTGGAAACACTTCTCAGAGAGGGACGTTGATGTCAAACCAACGCGTTCCATGCTATTTAGGTGAGGTTCTAGATCCTGAAACCAGTATCAAAAAGATCATTAAACACTCTTACATGCACAGATACTACTGGCACAAGTGATTCTAATTGAAATAAAGGCTTGCGACTCCAGGGCGTTTCAAAAAGCCTCTGTTGATCTACTAAAGCCGCCATATCAGGCTTCGAGCGTCTTGCAGATGGTTTCCTCTGTAAAAAGGCAATAAGCTATTAGTAAGTGATTAAGCTTGCAACTAGGTTATTAAGCTCCTCAGAGGCCATAATTTTGTAGCATCAGATCTGCCCCTTACGACATCGTAACGCACAGACCATTTAGAGCGCGTTATCTATAGGAGCGAATTAACAGTCCAAAATCCAATATCCTTTTTCACAAACTAGTATGAACTAATTGATTTATTCGCGCTCTATTCTTGTTCTTTCGGTACCTTTCCAGGTATTTGGTACTGTTCAATGGATAATGTCTAACCACCCCACTGCATTAGTGTTAGTCAGTTCTTTGTGTGTGTGTATGTTCCGTGATTTGGATGAGTACGTTTGTTTCAGAGCAGTAGGGTTTTTGGATATCAGAAGCTGCCGCGTTACCAGGCTGCAGTTAACTGCAATGTGAAGAATAATAGGGAGAAAATTCTAATGCTAATAGTAAGATTTCAGAACCACGTAAATAAGTGGATAACTTAGTTTATTAGTAGGTAGTGAATTGTGTGCAGTAGGACCGATGTATAAGCGAGGGAAAGGCAACAGAGAATATAAGTGAGATAGAAAAGGTAAGTGATCTAAGGGGGTGACAAAAATAACAACTACCAGGTCTGAAGTCATGCATCGGGCACAGCTAGTGAGTAGGTATTTATCAAGTCCTTTCTTAAAGCCGTCCATTGCAAGGGGTGTTAACACCTCGGTTTGGAACGCATCCCAAATTGCAACGACTACCAATGAGAATAAGTGAACACGAACCTGGGTGTTTGCCCCATAATGCAAAATTTTACGAGGATTACCGCACGAGGCGAGGTGATGATCCATCAATAAGGTGCTCACGTTGTGATCGTTTGGCGTACCTAATATGTTGGACACATGATCAAAAATGCAATCACTTCGACATTTTACGAGTCTCTGGGACAGAAGAAGCACCATCACAAGGATTGGATGTCTAATGGTACTTCTGAAAAAATTGAGGAAAGGAGGAACAAGAGGGCAGCCATCGACATCAGTCAAACAAGAGCAGAGAAATTTAAGGCACAAGTTGAATAGATAGAAGCAAACAGTATATCATCAGAGCCGACAAACGAAAATATGTGGAAGATCTAGCAATGACGGCAGAAAAGGCTGCAAGAGAAGAAACCTTGAGACAGTTGTATGTCACTATAAAGAAGCTCTCTGGAAACAATCATTAACCAGGACGACCAGTGAGAAGCAAGGAAGACAAAGTAATCAGCAACACTGAATAACAGCGAAACAGGCAGGTAGGGCAATTTAAGGTACTCTTGAATCGACCTGCTCCACTGAACACACCCAACATCGACGCAGCATCCACGGACCTCCCAATTTATGTTGGGGCACCTACGATTGAGGAGATCAGTATGGCCATCAGACAAATCAAGAGCGGCAAAGCAGCAGGATCAGACAACATTCCAGCAGAGGCAATGAAAGCAGATGTAGAAGCAACTGCGAAAACACTTCACATTCTCTTCAAGAAGATTTGGGATGATGGCCATACTGATCTCCTCAATCGTAGGTGCGCCAATATTAATTAGGAGGTCCGTGGATGCTGCGTCGATGTTGGGTGTGTTCAGTGGAGCAGGTCGATTCAAGAGTACCTTAAATTGCCCTACCTGCCTGTTTCGCTGTTATTCAGTGTTGCTGATTACTTTGTCTTCCTTGCTTCTCACTGGTCGTCCTGGTTAATGATTGTTTCCAGAGAGCTTCTTTATTGTGACATACAACTGTCTCAAGGTTTCTTCTCTTGCAGCCTTTTCCGCCGTCATTGCTAGATCTTCCACATATTTTCGTTTGTCAGCTCTGATGCTATTCTTCACTTCACTGTTTGCTTTTGTGTGTGCAGTTTGTGCGGCAACTTTCCCCGCTCTTGTTCGGCTGACATTGATTGCTACCCTCTTGTTTTTCCTTTCTTCAATTGTTTCAAGAGTACCAACAGAGATCCATTCCTTGTGATGGTACTTCTTGTGACCCAGCACTTCGTGACATGGTGAAGTGATTGCCTCCTTAATCCCTTTCCAATTGTTCTCCAATGTTGCGACCTATCCATTGAGTAGATCCTGAAAGGCCTGGAACCTATTGGTGAGGGCTATCCTGAATTCGTTGAGCTTCACAGTATCCCGAAGAAAGGCCGTATTAAACTTGTGTGATGTTGTCTGTCCCATTGTCCAGTGCTTCTTTAGTTTCAGTTCCATTTCGGCGACCAGCGAATGGTGATCTGAAGCTATATCAGCACCTCTCCTGGTTCTCACATCCTCCTTAGTCCTTCTGAACGTTTTGTTGATACATATATGATCAATCTGGTTTTGAGTAGTGTGGTCCGGTGAAATCCATGTAGCTTTGTGTATGCGTTTGTGCGGGAATATTGTGCCACCGATGACCAGTTTGTTGAAGGCACATAGGTTTGCAAATCTCTCACCATTTTCGTTTCTTTCTCCCAGTCCATGTCGTCCCATGATGTCTTCATATCCAGTGTTGTCCATTCCAACCTTGGCATTCAGGTCTCCCATAAGAACCGTCGAATCATTTGGTGAACATTTCTCGACGATTGACTGCAGCCTCTCGTAAAATTGATCTTTACCGTCGTCATTGTAGTCATTGGTAGGTGCATAACATTGGATGACGTTCATTGTAATGTCCTGA